GCATTCTCGTTCTTCCCAGGAGAATTGTCTTTCGTCCGCCTGCCGGGGAATCCCCTGCTCCTCCAGCCTGGGTATTCGTCCAGTCGCATATTGGATTTCCACTTCAGTCGCCGCGCTGAGTGCTGTAATAATTCTCTTCGGAAAGAAACAGAAAAGAACAAAACCGAAAGCGGTTGCTGCTCATTTTAGTTGCACTTGCCAGCCAGTGGACATGACTGAAATATTATTAGAAAAGAAATGGCGAGGCAGTGCGTCGTTTCTGCGACTTTGTGGCATCTTCCTTGGGATTGGAGACTGGGGATTGGGAGCCGTAGCCGTGGTCACATGGGCGTTGCATTTTACGCTAAGTAAGAATCCAAATAAAGCTGGGGCAGCTGGACCAGGAAGCACTGAGTCTAAAAATGTTCCCCTCTTCGAAGAGGCTTCTTTCTTCGCGGCTGTCGTTGTCGTGGTTGTTCCTCCTGTTCTGTACTCTGTTCTCTGCTGTTCTGTTTCTCTTGTCGTTGTTGTCGTCTTGGTCGTGTTACAAAATGAACTGAGAAAAAAAATAAATTCTGATTTAGTCCTGGTACTTTAACCAAAAATTTTACAAAGTAGGTAAGTGAAAATCTCCTGGGAAAATTTTGCTTTTGTTTTTGAAAACTCATTTTTCTGTAATTATTATAACAGCAACTTCTTTAAAATTTAATTTAAATGTTTTTTTGATATTTAGTTTTTACTAATTTGTACTAAACTTTATATGTAGAAATATAACTTTGGAAATTTACTTTAATTTTCTTTAATTTATTATCCTCATAAAAATCATGAAAATTAAATAATACATATGACTGTTATAAAAATATTTTGAACGTTTTATTTTCTTGAATATCTAATTACTTATGTAAATAAATTAGTCATCAAATCTATATCTTAACATTTAATTATTTTTTTACCAAAAATTATTTTTACAAGATTTTTTCCCAGTTCAGCAAAATGCAGAATGGAGTAGTGGGTGAGTGCATCCTGCTCGCCTAATGATGCAGTGCAGCTCGCTTTGTTCTGGAATTGTGCATTTGCCTTTGCTGGCCGGCCAATTTAAATTCTAATTCCATGTAGCAAATCAGATTAGCTGCCCAGTTGGCGGACCCCCGAACACAAATGGCCCAAACAGTTAGCCAAAGTTACCTCCGCACTTGAACTGGGTTTGTTGCTGTTTTTCTGAGCCAAGTTTAACTTTGGTCTTGGCCTGGCCCAAAAGCGTTTTCACTCCTCCAATGCAGACGTGGCCGTAAAATTTGATTTTACGACCGTGGCAACAATATTTTTATGCTTTTATAAATTTATTTCACATTTTCATTTGGAAACCAGATACGCAGAGTCTCTAGACTTGCACTTTTCCCCAGTATATATCGCCAGTATATCTCCAGTATATCTCGGCTGTTTACAGCCGTTAAGTGTCGCCAAGTTTTTGTGGCTTAGGTTTTTTAGTATTCGCCTTAACTGTTTTTTAAATGCATTCACGTTGCAGTTGTAAAGATTGACAAAATGCAAACTGGTTTCCGAAATGACCCAATCTCGAAAGAGCTTAATAAAAATGATTTAAATCGGGTTTACGTTTATTGAAAGACATCTAACTGGGTTTTCATTTCGTCTAAAGCCCATTTTATCTGCCTAATTTGTTCAGGCATAAAAGAGCAAAGGAAACAAAGGAAATTTTCGGCTTCACAATTTTAATAAATTACAATTCCCATCAAAAAGGTTTAATAAGATTGCCAAGGTCTTGCTTATTTCGAATACAATGAATGAGGAATAAAACTATGTATTTTAATTAAAAAGTAAACTTAAGTGAAGGGAATAATATTTTGATGCCTTGTTAATATTTATCAATTTACGGGGTTTTCGGCCAAGGATAAAAGTTCATGAAGAGCAGAAGCTGAAATTAATTTAAATAAAAAAATGGAATCCAAAAAGGTATAAAAACCGTCCCTTTCTGGTTTGATAAATTGTTTCCTTATTTTTTTATTGATTCTACAACCCCTTTCCTTTTAATTTTTACCCAGACTTGGAGAAATGACTCATCTTGAGCGGCCAGATTTTTTAGGAACTTCGAGCTCTATCCATTTATTAGCCCTGCGACCATCTACACACTCCATTAAGCCCACACACACCCGCTCGGGGTCACCTTTTTGGCCTGCAGCCATCGATGGCTCATTAATTTCTGCGTGGCGACCAATGAAAATAAATCGTAAATCAATAAACCGCATAAGAAACTTTGGCCCGTGTTTCGATTCACATACCCCCCACTCCAACATCCAGCCGCATTTTTTACTGTCTTTTTTAAGTGCATCTTTTTCGGTCTCGGGATCCTCTGAAGTGACCAATATATATATCTTCTTGTAAAATTTAACAGTTTTTTCAATTTTTTGATTAATTGGCCCGCTTGCATTTTATTTCCCTTGGCTGCTGCTGCTCTTCGTCTGATAAAAGACAATTTTGATTGATGTTTTTATAATTTTATGGATCTGCCATATAGGGGAAACCCTTGGACATAACTGAGATTTTTAACTTCTTCTGAAGCCGAAGGAGAATAAATACACTAAGGTCTTCTAGCCACAGGTGTTCGGGCTTTCGGCAATTAAAAATTCAAATTTAATTTTGGCCTAAACGTTTCTAAACAAAGCAATAAAGCCATTCACGAGCACACACATGCATGCGATTACACTTTGTCTGGCGCTGTCTGGCGCAGCGGGATATATACAATGCGCCGGTGGGCGAAGGGGGCGGGGCAGATCGGCCTGGGGTCGGGGTGCATCGTCTGCATATGCACTGGGAACATTTTTTTCGATATTTGAAGGAATTTTTTTATATTAATTAAGTGATATATAGCAATTAAATTTTTATAGAAAGTTTTACATATATTTTGGTAAATTTTGTGTATTTAAATTTTTAAATTTTAATAGAAAGTTACATCATTTTTTGAGATTTCTTATCAGATCACAAAAGATCACCTAGAAACATTGATCTATGAGAAATGCTAAAATAACTAGTTGAAAACTTTTTTAATAACCATAACTAATTAAAATTTGTAATAATCGTGTAGAAATATTTTTCAATATTTTTCTGTGTGCATTGAACCCACTTTGAGATTTATGCAGCCAGCGGATTGGAGATGGAAATGGGAATGAGCATTTCATGTTGCACTTTGTTGGCACAGTTTCTTCTTCTCGAAGCGAAGACTTCCGCATTTTGTTGGCTCGTTCTTGTTATTGTTTTCAATGGAAATTGGGAGGCTGTATCTTTAGTCGATTCCGAATCCGTTGCCGTTTGTTTGGCGCCCTTTAACGCTGAGAATGCTGGGGCATAAATAACGTGAGAATTATGGTACAAGGGAAGCCAGTTACAGCAAACAGAAAACAACGGAAAAGAACAGGGCATAAATATGCATGTGCGGCAATAAAGAAATTGGTAAATGTCCCGCTTGCAGGACCAACTTGTGTTTGCAGGCCAACTGTGTGCCACTTTCCGCTTTTAAATTGCGGATATTTTGGCCAAAAAGGCCAACCGATCGCAGCAGTCAGTCGTCACTCAGTGGCCACGTCACGCGTTCGCAATTGTTTTTTGGCCCGCATTGCCAATTACGACACCATCAGCAAACCAGCAACCAGCAACAGTAACTGCAACAGCAGCAACATCAAGCGGACAGCAGCAACATCAACAGCAGCAGCAACACCAAACAACAGCGTTTATTCGCAGCCTCTCAGCCTGCCAATTTATGGATGCACCTCGCTTTTGGGCCAGTTTGCCTCTTTTTTTGGCAACCGAAAATCAAAAACCGCTTATTATCATCGCTTTTTATGTTTGACTGCTTGGGGCCAAAGGTCTTAGGAGCATTGCTTGGGTTTCGCGGATTTGGGTTGGGTTTGAGAAGCACAGGGGCATATATCTGCATTTATATGGGGACAGAGAACATAAACTAGTGTGAAGTTGGGTGTGTTTGGTATAAGGTTTATACTATAAACGAAAATGGGTGTGTGATAAGTGAATCTGCGTTATATGCGTTTAAAGTGATTAAAGCTATAAACTTAGGGATCAGGTGGAATTTTTTAAAGACTGGAAAAAGAATCCTCTTAAAAAGCAATAAATTATAACAATAAATAGAAACTATCTTAATTTTTTGGTATACAGATTCTGAAAACTTATAGACCCTTTATTCTTGATTTTCATTAAATAAACAGAAACAACATTTTTATATAATATTTTAAAATAACAAATTTAAAGACATTTGGAAATTATAAGAAATAAATAATTAAAAAAAATAATCTTAACAAGTAAACTTAAAAACTTAACTTAAACTTAATGGCCTCTTAAGGTTCCAAAATTTTAAAAAATGCTCAATAAATTGTAAGGGAATAATAGACACTCTTAAGTTTTTGAAATGTAAAATTCAAAAATTAAATAAAATTCATTTTTATTTCCTAACTCTTAACATTTTATCATGTAGCACAAGTAAACTAATACAGAATATCCATGCGATATTCCTGTCAACGGTTTGACAAGCACTCCAATTGGGTTTGACAGTCACTGAACTGTCGGTTGCGTGAATTGGAGCACTTGGTTCAGTGCCAGTTGCCAAGCTGCCAGTCTCCTCCGAATGCTCCTCCGAAAATGCGGGCAAACAAATGACATGGCTGCAAGTCATCGGTGGGGTTGAAAGCGTGTCGTGTTTGTCATCGCAGATACGCAAACACGCTCATATCGGTCCAAGTCCAAAACCGACTTCAAATCCAATCGAATGGCATTTCCAGACACAAGACACATGTGACAATTGCCCAGATCCCACTCCCAAATACAAAAAACAACCTGTTGGTCGCTTCGGTCGTTATGACAGTAATTGGCCGAAGTCGTCTGGAAAAGTCAGTTTCACTTTTGCCGATGATGAGCCGCTGATTTGGGTCAGCCCCTCCGCTCGAATTTAATCCACAATTCACACCTCGCTCTGGTTTTCCTTGTTTTTTTTTCAGGCGTCACATTTGCATGCAACAGCGAACGGTGACGATGCCCGTGAAGCGGACGGAGGTCTACAGCCGACCCACCTGGAAGCACGTGGCCACGCCCTGCCAGCCGCCCACCTTCGCCGGCCAGAAGTGCACCAGGGTCCAGGTTGTCCACGAGCAGGCCTACCGGGATGTCATCGACCACAAGACCGCCCAGCAGATGACCTACGACTGCTGCTCGGGATGGAGCCGGGAGAATCCACGGGCGGATTCGTGCATGAAACGTGAGTTTTAAATTAAAAAATATTTAAATAAAAATGAATATAAAATAAAAAAATATATTAAATTATTATAAAAAAATATCTTTGCTTGATACTAAAAATACACTGGAAAAAGAAAAATTATTGTTAAAAAACAATGTAGTTCGAATATTTCGGTAATTGATTTCCTGCTATAAGCTTGTTATAAACTTCCTATAAAATATTATAAACTATTTAAGGAGCAACATTTCTAAAATGACAAATTTTTAGACAGTCTTTTAAAATAAGTCTTTACAAGTCTCCATAAGCTCTCGAAATCCTAAAATTCTGTACACAATTTATAGCAGCATTACGTATACGACTAGTTAAACAACACCTAGAAAAGAACAACCTAGAAAAGCAAATCAATCCATTTTTATATTTTATATTAAATGGATAAGTATTCATTTGTTTTTTGCTAATTTAATTTTAATAAAGTTATAATAATTATATTTTTAAATTAATTATAAAAAAATAATTTTATTTTGAATTTCTAATTAAAATCTTCAAAAATCATTTACAGCTGTTTGCTCCTCGCGCTGCCAGAACGGCGGTAATTGTACGGCTCCCAACACCTGTAGTTGTCCATCGGGCTTCACAGGACGTCATTGCGAGCAGGATGTGGATGAGTGCCAGACGGAGAAGCCCTGCGATCAGCAGTGCTTTAATACTCAGGGATCTTACCTCTGCCGCTGCCGCCAGGGATTCGTCCTGCAGGCGGATCAGCAGAGCTGCAAGAAAGTATCCACGAATGCAGACGACGCCTTCGAGGCTCGCGATCTGGAGAACGACATAGACGACACGGATGCAGAGGTGGTCACGCGGCTCCAGAAGATCGAGAAGTCGTTGGCCAACGAGCGAGTCCACACCAACGAGCTGCAAAAGTCGCTCCAGGCCACCTACAGTGTGGTGGACACCTTAAAGAGCCGGCTGAGCACGCTGGTAAGAATTTTTCAAGGGATTTAGTTTTAATTTAATAAAAAGATTTTTTTATAATATTTTTTACGAAGAAACTAAATATTGTATGAAAAAATTTGTTTGTCATAACGATTTTTTTGAACATAAAAAAAGGTTTAATTTTTTTTAAACATTCTTTCCTAATAAATACATTTTTTATTTTTTAAAAACTAAAGTTTTATTGAGCGTTCCAAACGTAGATTGATATTACAATTAATTTTGAACAAAATTGTTGTCTGTTTCACTTCTAAACTTTTACTAATTAAAGTCAAATTTGTTTCTACCCAGGAAAAGCAGGCTCAGGATGTGAGTCGACTGCAGACGAATCTCTATAAGACGGAGTCGCGGACCAACAAGCTGGAGGGGATGCTGAACCTACTGCTAAAGTGCCGGAATGGCCCCAACGCCAACTGCCCCTAAAAACAGAACTGCATTTCCCCCTTCCCTACGCTACTTATTATTAAATGTTAGTTAACTTAATTGACCACTCTGTTCACATGTAGCTGCTCCTGCTTGTAAGCCATTCCCGAATGCGAGTCGAGTGCCTCTGTAGTCTCTAGAATCTCAGCCCTCGAATCCGAGGGGCTGTGCGTATTAGTACTTAAGCGAACGTGTCATAAATGTATCGAGATCTGAAGTTATAGCCTTAAGCGCACCACCGCACTCTGCACCACCCAAAGCGGATTTGGATTTTGGGTGGTGCACCGATAAATTTCTGCATGTATCTGTATATAATTTTAATGTATATGAGAAATCACTGCACGAATAAATGCATTTTCTAATTTGAATGGTTTACCTTTAATGGGGCGCTATTATGAGTGAATCTACGATGGGGATTTTACGAAAAAATAAAGGAAATATGATATTCAAAAACAACAAATTTGTTTCGAACCCTTCCACAACGAAATCCTGGATATTTTAATTTAGAAAATTTAGAAAACTTTAAAAACAATACTGAAATGAGTTCTGAAAAATAAATCAGTGTCAGTGGCTGTAGGCAAGTTTAAAGAGATAAAAACGTACATCACCAGGAGAGTGTGCGAAGGCGACTACTATATATACACGAAGAAATGAAAATCTACTGTGATGGTCCGATCATAATGAATGATACACCTATCGAAAGGTATTGCGAAAACTAACAGGATTGCATACCAAGACTCTAAGAAAATTAATTGGCTTGGGAGAGAGAGCGGTGAAAGTAAAAAAGTGAAAATTTCGAAATTTGGAGCTGTTGGGGCCGGTGGGGATAAATGCCCCCTCGCAATGTTTTAGTTGTATTCCTTTTGAAAATACCCGTCGAATGAGGGGTCATTTGTCAAAATCCGACTCTCCGTTCAAAAGTTATAGCCAAAATAAGATTTTCTTCTTCTTCCCAAAATGAAAATTTAATTCTGTTTGTCCACTTGTCCACTTGTCCACTTGTCCAAAATATGTTTTTTAAGTTCTGAAAATTTGATATGACGTTCATCACATCGATATAAAAAACTTTTGTTCTACCACTTTTGGAAAAACCCGCTAGTTTAGCGGGAAAACAGCTATAAGTAGCTAAAATTCGGAAAGCCGTAACTTCTATACTACTAAAGCTACAGGCTTGTGCTGCATCTCGTTTGAAAGGTATTTTTAAATGCTATAAACGCCTTCTATATGCAATTTGTGTAAATGTAATAGTTAAAAAAATATGAACAAAAGACAATTTTTTAAACCTTTTTTTTTGCTTTTTTTTTTTTTCTCAAAAACGGCTCTAACGATTTTCTTTAAAACCTTAAACTGTGTAGCCCTTGAGATTCCTTAAATTTTGGTATACAACACATTACTGTAAAAAGTCATGTTTAAAAGTTATTTTTATACGAAAATAGCCACTTTTGCCAGCTCGAACAACTAATGCTCCCTGAGTATTGAGTTTTGTGTGAGGATTTACGAACTGTATTTTAGGGTCATGGAATCAGTAAATTTGCACTTAAGAGTTCCATATAGGAATCTTTTGTTCTACGACTTTTGGAAAAAGCCGCTACTTTAGCGGGAAAAAAGCTAAAAATGGCTAAATTTCGTTAGTTTGTAAGTTCTACACTACTAAATGTACAGACATGTGCCATACCTCGATTAAAAGGTATTTTGAAATACTTTTTAACTTAATTTGTTTAAATACAATGGCTTACAAATTATGATTGACCAATTTAAATTTAAATGTATATATTAGCTCCTATGAGAGCAAATGTAAACAAACAAAAACTTCTGATATCAAATAAAAACACCTCTTAACGAGGTAAAAAACTAGTGACGACCGCACCTTCAACATACAAAAGTTCTGATATCAACATTTGTGACGAAAAATTGTTACACTCGTCATTAAATAGACTTTCTAATCTTTTCTCATTCGTCACGCTGCAATAGAAAATGCCTGTAAAGGGAAAAAGGCTGGAATAGTTTGCTAGGGCGGCCCGAATGAGAAAAGATTAGAAAGTCTATTTAATGAACTTTAAAACTTTAAAACCATTAAATTTACCCCCACTGCTACTATTTTGGCCACTGCTGTAAATTTACATTAGCCATGCCCTTAGCCAAGTTTCGCACCTACCAAACATGCTGTTAACTTCGCAGTGCAATTTCTACTCAAGTCCGTGCGCACTGTTAGCTCTGCTGTTAACGCGTGTCACGCAATGTTAAACAGAAAAACATCGATGGAATATCATCTCTGATTATAAACAAATAATTAGGCTGCACAATAGAATTCAGTTATCAGTGCAAAATATAGGGGACGCAACCAGCATGATTGGAACCAAGTCGCCGTAGTGTCAGCAACAACAATCGAACATTACAAGTCTTCTCGAAAATACCAATTACACGAAGTGACGTCACTAACTGCGCAGAAAAACCAGGGAAAACTGCTTAGGCAAGGTCCATCGAAAAAAGGGGCGGGGGAGCTATAGAAACTGATCCCCCAGATTTCACTTTTACCACAATTAAAACTGATTAAAAATCCAAGTGCAGCGAGTTCAAAGTATTCACTTCACAATGACTCGCGATGAGAAACTGCCGCTCAAACAGGCGGAGGTCTCCATACAAAGGTTTCACGATATGGCCGTAAGTTATATACTATATCTTTGTTTAAAGATCTATAACTTAATTTCTTATAAACCCCACAGGTTCCCCACCATCTGGGCCTCTTAAAAAACCATCGGAGTAATATAGAAAAAAGTCTGGCCCTCGGAGACTGGCAAAAAATCAAAAAAGAGGAGCTAAATGCCTTGAGGGTCATAAAACAAATCAAGAATCTGCTTCTAGAAATGGATGCACTGCGCGAAAAAGTTAGAGAGGAGGATTTGGAACGATTTGATCAGCTAATGCGACCTGGCAGGGAAAAAGCCTTTGCTGGCATGAAGGATTTTGCGGGTTAGTTGGGCATAACCACTCAAAAAACAAAGCTTTCTATTATATTTTCCCCCTTTAGAACTCCAATTGAAGTCGCCCACCTCCACCATGAGTTCCCAGTACGACGAGGACCTGGATAATCAACCCAACCAGGATGTGGACATGAATAACCTGCCTGCCCATCGGCACATGCCTCAGTTGCAACTCAATTTCCAGCTGGAGGAGCACCAATTGGCGCAAAGACAAGCTTGCCTCGATCAAATGGAGAATCTGCAGAGGGAGATCTACGATCTGCACGGGATGTTCAATGGAATGAGGCAGCTAACTGCAGAGCAGTCGGTGGCCGTGGAAAAGATAGCAGATAATGCAGAGGAGGCACTTGAAAATGTCCAGCAGGGTGAGCTGAATCTGCGACGAGCCTTGACCTACAAGAAGGCCATGTATCCTATGGTAGGAGCCCTGCTGGGCACCTGTGTAGGTGGACCCATTGGACTGGTGGCTGGTATAAAAGCTGGTGGGTTGGCCGCCGTGGGCTGTGGCATCCTGGGCTTCACCGGTGGCTCTGTGCTCAAGGCCAATCCCAATGTAATGCACGGCAATATCGAGGAGGAGGAGCAGCAGCCGGATAGCGAATCCACCGAGAGACTGGAGCTCAAGGAGAAGCCGGAATGACCCGTCGCATCTACGTCTCTGGCCACCACGCACATCTGGTCGGCGAATACGCGACGTTTGGAGGCGGCCACCAGCGGAGTGATCTGCAGTGTGCGCAGCTATTGCTCCATTCAGTAGTAGAGAAGTTATGACACCGATTTTAGTTCAATATCCCAACCCATTTTGTGATTATCCATGTGCAGTAGAGCTCGAAAGAAGCATCATCTTCTAGTTTAAGCGTTGGATATTTGTTGTTCACATGACACCGCAACTGTGTGTAGATTTTAAGGCTTTAATATGCAATAATAACTCGTAGCTTTAACAACTTGAAGTTTGAGTTTTCCCTGTTGAGAAGGTAAAGAGTTTTAAGGTTTTTATAAACTTGTTAAGGCTTTAATATGCAATATATAGTCTTAGCTATTAACATCTTTGTAGAAATGGCCTACAAAACCTACTAAACTAAGCGGGGACTTACAAACTATGTTAAGATACCAAAAGGGTAGCTCTATCCCCCGATTTATAGGGGTACATTAACCGTAGTCCATGCCTGTTTGAAGTTCTTCTTCTGCGAGTGCTGCTTCTTCCTTAGACGCTTGGCGGTCTTCTTCTTCTTGAACCACGCAGGATAATTGCCGTACTGATCCTTGAGGGTCTTGCTGTTGAAAACGTGCTCCACGCCCGTATTTTCATTGGTTACTTTTACTTTTTCGCCTTTTTCGAGACTCTCCTGGTGCTCGTAAATCAGTTCCTGCTCCTCCTTGGATTTGGCTTCCTATAAAAAGGGATTTCGAAAAATTTATAAGAAAAGGATTTTAGGAAAAATTGAAAGTGTGCGGTGAAAACTGAATGATGTATCTTTGTATTTAAGGAAAAAAATACCTCAAACATACATTTATATTTAAACAATCCCGGTACTTGATATTTCTAGAATTTGATAAGAAAGGAATATAAAGAAAAAGTAAAGGTGGGCCGGTCATGACATATTATATACCCATGTATTTAAAGTAAATTCTACAGAAAATCTAGGAACATATATGTAATAAGTTACAGGTACCGAAATACCATTAATTTCTACTCATAACTTACCCTCTTGAGCTCCTTGGAGGTCTTAACTTCGACCACATCGCTGATATCTTTCATGATCTCGTTTCCATCGGCATCCAGGAGTCCCAGAGTTTTCTTCAGGCGAATCAACTCTTTGGCTTCATACCGCGCCTTCTTTATCTTATTCATCTCATCGCGGCGCTTTCGGGAGCGATTATTTCTGCCCATTTTGCTTGTCGGCTATTAATTAATAACCGAAAATAACGAAGAAATAAGGAATTGCGTTCAATTTGCCAAAAACGTAAACACGTGCGTTGTGGCAGCTGATAAATGTACTTTTTAACACCATTTATTCGAATATACCTAAAATAATCATAATGGTCACCCTGAAATTTCAGGAAGGTGTATTGGCTGACTGGGTGGTGTCCCCGCTAAGCCAGGAGGGTGCATTCGCTATGTCCTTTTATTTCGTTTCCAGTTGGAAAAACACTGCGAAAAATAATGTTTAGATTTTGGATTACAAATTTACAGGATAATAGCTTGTTAAATATTATATTATATTCATAATCATTTTTAGTTTTATTTATTAGAATAATTTTATTTTACAAGACTAGTTTTGGGTTTTGGTTAATCAATAATAATGATTTTAAAGATTCAAGAGCTTAAGACCTTTGTCTGAGACTACCAAAATGATGTGCAACTAAATCTGGCACTTTATGACCTTTTCCTTACACTCACATATATTAACAATTACTTGTCTTAAAACCACAAATTAAGCTTTGGTGGTTTTCTTCCATTTCCTCTTTCTGGCCCCCGTCTCCATCCACCCTTCACATATTTATTTATTCCCCTCTTTATTTATTTACCTATTCTCTCTCCCTCTCTCACTATATCTGCTCTCAGCTCAGAATGCAATATGATTTTTGTATACAAACAAAATCAGCTGCTGAAGAGAGAAAATGAGAGGCTTGCAAAATACGAAAAGATATAAAGTCAAGTGGAGGTTTGTTTAACACGACTAGTGGATACTCTTTATTATAAGAAAATATGCATTTACGTGAACTTTATTGAAACTGAATACAGAATCAGGTTTTAAAAGGTAATAAAATCATTTATAAGGTGATGAAGATTTATGTTTAGCTTTCATAATATTTAATACATATTTTTATAACATATTTATATTCTAAAAAGTGATTTAAAAATATATATATTAGATAATTATTGTGCCAAAAAATATTGGAGATTTTAAATCTGTTTAAATGATCCAAAAAGTATGCAACAAGAAATATTATTTTTGAATTCACTTTTGTTTTTGTGGTGAAAAATTAAAAGGGATATAATGATTAATTTTATTTATATCTACCTTTGTATCATTGCTAGGGTGCTTCAGTTTTGAATAGGGTAACTGGAAAGACCTCTCTTGCACATGCGCAGCAGCGGAAACCGAGGCGGAGAAGCAGAAACAGGGTAAGTGTGTCGGGCTCAGCTGTAGAGCCACCAATACCACAGCACTAAGGCACCAATACCAGCTCAGAAAAGAGACTCACACATACGGACATACGGACAAGCAGCTTTGTTGGCCAGTTTGTAAACCTTCTGCCATCATTCGCTCGTCAGTCGTTGTTGCTAGCATACGTCACGGAGTTCCTGTAGCGCTGCTCTCCTCACTTCTCACCCCCTCTCTCAGTTCTTCAAAAAAAACGGAAGTAATCAGCACAAAAAACAATTAAAAACATTTTGAAAATTGTGTGAAAAGCTTTTGCTGGTGCAAATAATTTGCAGAAAACAGAAATCAGAGAAGGGGAAATTCCGCCATCGATCGATCAATAAACTCCGAGCAGCAAGTAAGTGCAGTTTTAACCCCCAAAAAAGAAGCCCAAAACTTAAGCGGAAGTCCTTCTCCAAGGAAAGGATACTTACACTCACATACAAAATTGTATACAAAAATTCTGGGATATATTTCTCAAAGTTTTTTGCTGCAAGCCGATTTACATGTACACACATCTCAAGTGCAGCCAAGCGATACATACACAAAAAAGTGCACAAAACACACAAAAAAGCAGGAAAAAAGTTCTGATTGCACCTTCGCATCCAAAGAGTTCACACTTTTGCGACAGTGTGTGTGTTTGTGTATGAGAGTTTTCCTTGGTTTCCTCGGTCAGACCCACAACAAGGAAAACTTCTCCACACACACACTGAATTTTCCCCCAAAATGTTTTCCATTCGCCTGCAAATCGGCCGAGTTTCTTGTTAAGGGGATTTCCATTCTGGGCATCTAATAGCCATAAATTTGACTTGCATCACGTTTTCAGCATTTGTTGCGATCGTTATCACAACCGTGCCACATCTCAGATCTCTGGCATTTCCCAGCTGACGGGCACTGCAAAAAATGAGGGGTACTTTTTGTCAAATTAACGTGATTTAAATGGATGAAATCCAATAAGGGAAACCTATTTTTGGACAGTTATTATTAGAATTGTGCTTCCTTTAATTCAATAAGTATTAGTAAAGTTCCTAAACAATAATTTAAAATATTAATGGAATATATTTAAAGTAAATTATTAGTTTAGTTTTTAAAAAATAATTTAGTACTTTATTTAGAAGATTATTTATTATTATTATTATTTAATATTTAATAGTTTTTTTTTAAGGAAATTAATTTAATTGTTTTTGTTTGAGTAATAGTTATTATTTAGAAAAGAATTTATTTTACCACAAGGCAAAAATGTGTTTAATACTAAAATTATTTTGCGAAATTTTTCTGGTTTTTTCTTTACCAACTTGTATTATTAAGCTTATAATTTGAACTTAGTTGAAATTTCTAGTATTTTCTCTCTGCGTGTTCAGGCTCATTTAGCCGCTGCACTTTGCCCCACGATCGAGTTTTATTTTGTGCATTTTGTGCAATCATTATGACTATGTGTTCATGGAGTGTCATCGGGCGATGCCAAGTGCAATGAATGTTTCGCTGATTAACATCTTAATTAGCCTTGCAATTATTTCCTCAAACTATGTATGTACAACAACAGCCAAAAATCGCTGGCTGCCTGCCAAACATTTGCTCAGATGTTGAGATTTTAACCAAAGACAACCGAAATTAGGGAGCATTTTCGAAGAGAGAAAAGAAAACCTTTGCCACTCCACCACAAACACAAATGCAGGCCCGAAAAACCCAAACCCAAGTGAATCATGCGGCAAATGTGCAGAACAGGTCTTGCAGTTGCAGTTGCCATTGTCCATTGTCCATCCATTTTTCGAGCTGAAGAGCAGAAGAACTGAATATAAAACACTGAAGAACCGAAGGTGCTGGATCGAAACGGAGGGGCAGGGTCCAAAATCGTAGGGGCCGAACGGTCGGTCCCGGATGATAAATCAAGTCTGGCCAGTTGTTGTTTGTCTGTGGCAACGAAAGAAAAATTGAAAAACAAAAGCCACAGACAACAACATAAACAGCGAACAGCTGATGATGCTGCAAACTCCACACCAAATGTGTGTATCTGCCAGATATTTACTATAAGTAAGTAAGTAAGTTGGATCCAGCCCCGATCGCGGCCAACAAATCTGGTCGCCTTAATTGGCCAAAAGGGTAACCGTAGTCACAGAAAGTCTAGCTTATGCACAGGAAAAAAATATTTATTATTTTTTAACTTGAAAATAAATACTATAGGTATAAAAAAATGAGCTGAAATACATTCCCCAATATTTAAACAGAATTTCAAACATTTTCAATACTTCTCTCGACTTTTTGATATTTTAAAAAGTGACTAAAGATATTAATAATTAAGAAATATTAATTATCACTACCTAAGTTTTTTCTTCAAAGAAATTACTTCCAAAAATATTCAAAATAAATTATACAATCAAAAGAAGTAGTAAAAAATGTACAGAAATATTAAAAACAAAATAATAAGGAATCATGTTCTATCTTCAAAATGTTAAATAGTTTTTTAAACCATACTTTTTCAAGTTTCTCTTAGTGTGAATTGATTTTACTTTAAATCAAGATATCGACCTATTTTGATGATTTTTTTCACCCTGTACCAGTGTCAATTCCTTTGTGTGCTATTTTTGAACTAGTCTTTGCCTTTTAAGGCGCTGACCACCTTTAAGGCGCTTTTCCCTCGGCAAAGCCTATCTTTGAGCAGGGAATAAAGGCAATTAAGTCATCGTTAGACGGCGGCATTAGCGGGTTTAATTAGAACGCTACGCTACCAACTGACGCGGCATTTTGTCACCGTTCCCGAGGGTCGTCGTCAGGCGTCTCATCCCATCGGTTTAAGATACAAAAACCCAGTGCCCATTCCCAGTATCAGGTAGCAAAAGTAGGCAGCTGGTGGGCTAATCCCTAAATGGCACGCATTGCGGACGGGCCTCCATAGACCCTCCTCCTCCTCTTTCTCCTCAGAACCCGATAATGCCCGACTATAATTAGAAAGTTAGTCAGCCGACTTGCCGTAACTGTAATTACGCATGTGTAGCCCAAAAGATATCCAAACAAAAGACCAAAACAATGAACACTTGATGATGTTCTTGTCTCGGTTTTGGGTTACTGATTTTTTTTGGGCTCCTGGCAGGTCCTCTGATTTATGGCAGCGAAGAAAGTGAAATTTTTATGGTGGTGTGAGAAAAACCTGTTTGTTAGGACACAAGAAAAATACAAAAAAAAAAAACAAAGACCAAAGTCAAGTTCAAGTTGTATAGTAATTTCGAGTTATGTAAGTCGCTTTTTTTCTTTTGCCTCTGAGGTTCTTGACTGCGCATCAAAATGTCAAAAATTATGTCATAATTTCAGAAATAAAACGCAGCTGCAGTCGGGGTTTTTATAGGGGAGGTATATAAGGGGGGTGGGTCCCAAGTTCCAGGTGGTAGAACGTTTGTAGGCTCAGTAACACTGCACACTGCGCAGTTCCTCCCAAAGCCCACAACCCCCCGCTTTTCCTATTTGGGGGTTGCTGACGTGTTCATTTTCCACTGGCGCTGATTTGCAGCTATGGGCCTTTCATCGATTTGCAGCTTAACCATTTTTAGGGGGTAAAAATCTAGGGGCACCCTGCAAAAAACCAACCAAAAATAGCAAAGGTGACCCCCAAAAATTTTGCGGAACGGGAGGCTGTGAAAAAGTTTTTCCTGGGCCTACATTTCCCTAAAATGCGGAAGTCGTTACTTTGTACATATATATAGGGTATGCCGTATATATACACACATAATTGCAGCGAGAGAGTGAACCAAAACATTCGAAGGTTGCTAGGTAATCATCATCATCGGGGAAAATGCCCTCCACTGCGCAGGTCAAACAAATTTGTTTGTAAACAAAATCG